TAGTCTTAGACAGCATTAGAGAGTGTTAGATAGTCGTTAGTGATGGCAAGGTGCTTGCGAGAGAATAGATAGCAAGACAGAGAGAGAGAGAGTGTAGTGAGGAAGTGATGCTACAATACCTGCTGTTGCTGCTGCTGTTGTTGTTGTTGTTGTTGTTGTTGTTGTTGTGGCATCAAATCGGTCGGATTGAACACCTGAGAGCGAGACAGGTTATGATTAGCAGATAGAAACCCGCATCAATGTTGCCATCAATGTTGCAATCAATGTTGCCGTCAATGTTGCCATAAATGTTGCCATCAATGTTGCCATCATCGTCCACGAACGCCACAGACGTGTACTAAGCTGTCTCGACACTCTCATTTAAAGTGATTAAGTCACCGTAAATAGTAAAAATAAAAAATAAATTCAACTTTTTCACAAAATGCAAGTAATTCTTTTCACTTTTTATGGTTAAATTGCTGGCATTATATTCCTATTTTACTTATATTGTTCGATGTAAACAATACACTCGTTACTCCATACATAGCTCATAGAGGAATTAAGTCAGGAATCATAATATAAACTCGCAGCTTTGTGATTTAACTAGTTGAGAAACAATCTTATCAGGTAAGAATTTGACGACACATTTAGTCCGGTAAGTACTTGCTTTTAAATGAAAAAAAATGGCAACAAAAATTTTACAAAAAACACGACAGAAACTTTGTGACGTAGTCAATTTATGAAGTTGCTTTCCCCAGCCGTGCTCGCCTGTTGCATTCCGACGTTAATCGTCTTTTCGATTTATTATTTTTTCATTTAAGTTTTTCTTCTAATTTCTCGCGTCTTGTTTCTCTGTCCCATCACCTCTTGTTCTTCATGCCTATTATTGCCCATCCTTTCCCCATCCATACATGCCAATTATTTAATCATTATTCTCTTCAATTCTTGTCCTTTGAACACTACATTAAAATTTTTCCGCGGACTTTTTTGTGGAAGACCAGTTTTCCCTGACCTATCGTATTGTTTTTTATGATCTATATTCTGATCTTTGGATAATTCTTTTTTTTCTCTTGACTTTTCCCTTGACTTATAGACCGTGTAACTCCTGTTATTAATGAAGTCGCTCTTGTGTCCTCTTCAGTTATTATACTTGGCTCTACCTTCGCCCCTGCACCTGCTGTAGTTGCGGTACTCTCGCAGGTGTGTAGATGTTCATGGAACCTGGGCGGGCGGGCGGCCTGTGGCTCACGCTGCGGGCCGTTTGGCCTGAAACGTCACGAACGCGGTTGTGACAGAATCGAAACACACAGTCGTAAACGCGAACCGTTTGTAAGCGGAAAGATGGCGGACACCTTCACAATCCAAGTCGTCGTCTATTGCAGCGACCGAAACGATCGCGACACTATGCAGCTTTTGCGCAGACGATACTCTTATCATCGACGTAACATTAAATTATCGTTATTGTATTTTATCTATTTATTATTAATTATTTATTGTAACAAAATTTAAATAACCCACCAAACAGAGTTAAATCTAAAAATACGAAGCAGATGAACGAACTAGAACAAAAAAGTTCGTACTAGTGGACATTGACAACGACGGGTTGCGACGAACCCGCCAAGGCGGGCCATTTTACAACGGCAAGTCGGCACGGCAAAGAATTCACAGTTCCAGCGCTGAGAGCCGGCAGCAGTTACCGTTGTCAGACACAAATTCTAGTAACAATTAACATTAGTGGCCGTAAGTGCTATTCAGCATTAACACTAAAATTAACTTTACGACGTTTCTGACAATGGCCCTCCCGCCCCCGAGTTTTTCTGCTCGAGAAATCCCGCTCTCCGTACGATTTCAAATCGGCTGGAGTATCGAACTCGCAGTATTTCGCGGGCGGCGAGGCCTACCTTGCGTTTCAGACAGCGGAGGGTCGTGTCCAGGCCCGGCGGCGACGGCTCGGCGAAAGCTCCCGCGTGGGCGACGGTGCGACATCCTGTGTAGCCGGCCCGAGACTCGCGGCGTGTTATTTTGACCTGCGTCCAAAAAAAAAGAAAGAAGAAATAAGATAAACGTAAACTAAATAAACTAAACTCCAAAAAATATTTAAAAAAAATAAAAAATAAATCGACAGCCGGGCGCTCGAAGGGCCGATCTGTCTCTCACAGGGGGGCGCCAACCGTGTTTCGTAAAATATATTATCAACCGAGAAAGTACACAGCGTAGAGACCTGTGTTAGCAGAGGTGCTACATCCATGAACACGGCGGCCATCTTGGGTCAACGTCGTACCACCGAAGCAATATCGCCGTTACCTGGGAACGAAATTACGCTTCGGCAGATCACCTCACTCAGGTGACAATCCTGACGGGCTGTGGCAGCACGGATTATAGAAGGTGACTGAGGATACTGCTCGGCATTCGTCCGGCAGCCCTGAACTGTAGGGGCCGACCTGTGCCAGGGGACTGGCACGGGCGCAACAGGCTGCTGCGTCAAACGAGAAGAAAGATAATCAACGATAGTACTAATTATCACACAGCGAAGACACGACGCAGTACAGTAGTACACACATAGCAGCAAAATATCATATATATTATAATTTAGTAATTATTGTATATAGTATTGTAATCTATATATATATACTACAACATGTGTATGTATTAAGTGATATATTATATAATGTAAAAAAAATGCAGTATATAGGACAGTGTATCAACCCGACAGTAAAAATAATGAACATATTATTACTAGAGTAATTACAATGCCACACCCACCTGTGCACCGGCTGATAACGCCGCGTACGGTGCGGACAGGCCGTAGTTCTGCTGGTAGCCACTAGATGGCACTGCCGCTGTACTGCGCCTCCGTGGCTCAGGACTTCGTGTATGACGGGTAGCGTCGTCTGCCGCTTGCCGCTGAGGCCACGCTGGGGCTTGCAGACAGCAGACGCGGAGTCAGCGTAACCGCGGGAAAGCTTTTTTTACGTTTTTTACAAATTTTTAAACCCGAATCGGGAAATATTTACGTCAGAGCCCCGCAACGGTCATTTTTATCCGCAAAAAACGTCGCAAGAGAAGAAATTCTCGACAAGTTCCTAATTGATAACGCGATGGCGCAGACGCGCGAGAGAGAACAACCTTTTGCCGAGTACATGTTGACAGCCATATGATGGCGCCGCGGCTCTTGTTGGCGCCGGTCATAAACGAGCGGGTGGCGGGCCTGGCCGTCGTGTAGGTAGGGTGCCTCCTGCCTGCGTCTGCAAACGCGGAGAAAGAAAATAAATACAAAGCGAGCGAGTTATCAGGATGAACAAACGATACAGCGGGCTCGTCTGCAATGCGGAAAAATAAAACGAAAATAAAAAACAAGCGAGTTATGGAAATGAACGACAATACGGAGGTATCGCCCCCGCTAGCGAGAGCGATTTCACGCTCAGTGTGAGGTTCGGTTGTTGCTATCCCCGCGGCGTGGAGGGATCAGATCCGACGTGAACAGTTGACCGTATACTTCAAAGTCCAAATCTTCGCACAGAAAGATATCCACAGGTCATACTTCGTACTAGACATGGTCTTATATCCTAACCCTGAACCTCTAATCTAACGCTCAACGCCTACCCCTGATCCAACCCTAATCCTCACACTAGTCTGCCACCGTTGCGGTACTGTCCCTCCAGCGCCCAATGGGGGATAGCATTTCCCGTGAGGTTCATGCATTGCCACGTTGACGGTAACAATGTCGTGTGTAACTTGAATCACGATGCAATCATTACAATTAAAAATTAAAAATTATAAATAGAAATTATAAGGATTACAGTAAACCGACCGCATAAAAGTAACCGTGATTTTAAGAACT